CAGAAAACTTTGGTTTTCCAACAAGTGTTCTAGCAAAGGCTTGGGTGTTGTGAGCAGAGGCTGAGGTGATTAGCAAGGGAATGATAGTTGAAAAGAGGGAGAAGATTTTTAGCAAGGCCTTGAACAAAAGCAAAGATTTCTGGTATTTTGATTGATGAGGGAACTCAATGCCTAGGTAGCGGCATGGAAAGTGAGACATGAGTCTTTATTAACCAATAGAATTGGTTGTTTTATTTGTTTAAGCAAAACTGAAATTCTGTATTCTGATATAAAAATGGAAACTAAACACTTGTTTGTTGGTTAAAAATTATGTTGCTTCGGGGGGGGGGGGGGGGGTTTACAAAAAGTGTTTGGGTTTCTGGTTTTCCGTTGATACCAGAAAATTTGGGGGGAGTTCTGATTTTTCCTGAAAAAGTCAAAACCTGATCTATTAAACTGATTGTAACAATCAGTAGTGGCTTGGTCACCACCTGGTACCTCTCCCCCATCTCCTTCCCAAAGTATTGCTTCCTCCCATGCTTTAATCTATGCACAGTAGTATAAAATGCTAGCCTCATTTGGTGTGATATCAAAACTGATAATAGTGCAGACTTCACAGCAGTGGATTTCATGGAGTTTCTGGCACGTCTACCCCTAGGGTAATGGTTTTGTTTGTTGTTGTAGGTTGATTTGTTTCAGGGTGTTTTTGTTGTTGAATAGGGTTTATTGAATAGAAGGGGTAGGGGTCAGTGTTGCCGTTTCATTCAGTGGTGAAAAAACTGTTTCCAAGAGGAAGATTTTGCAGAGTTTCCTAGAGATGGTCAGACCCTGAATTCACCTGATCTCCTCTGGAAGTTGATTCTACAGCTGGTTCCCTGGGCTAATCCCCATCCTCTTAACTGTAACCCTTATGGGGTATGTCAGGCTATAATTAAGGCTTTGAATCTTTCACGGAGGTCACGGATTCCGTGACTTTCCAGCACCTCCGTGATTTCTGTAGCGGCGGGTGCGGCTGACCCCAGGACTGCCCGAGCAGCTGGGGCGGCCCTGGGGCCAGCCACATCCGCCGCTGCTCCAGCGGCTCCAAGCAACTGGTCCCGGGCACTGCCCCGGAGCAGCGGTCCGGGAGCAGCAGCGGTGCCCCAGGCCACCCCCGCCCGGAGGAGCAGCGGCGGCGGTGGGGCCACGGGCTGCCCCTTCCCCCAGGAGCAGCGGCGGCAGGATCCCGGGCCACCCCCCACCTCCAGGAGCAGCAGCAGCCGGTGGAGCACCGCCCCACTCCCATCAGCAGGTAAGATTTAGTTAGGGGTATTTTTAATAAAAGTCACAGATAGGTCACGGGCCGTGACTTTTTGGTTATTGACCGTGACCTGTCCGTGACTTCTACTAAAAATACCCATGACTAAATCGTAGCCTTAACTATAATGCAGAGGAATCACACAAAGCGTTGCTTTCTTCTATCTCTGAACAAGGAGCTTTGTTAGAATAAGGAGCACAGAGGAGAGACAAGGTGGGTGAGGAAATACCTTTTATTGAACCAACTTCTGTAACCCGTAAGGGTTACAGTTACGAGGTTGGGGATTAGCTAACCTCCAACAAAAAGTGCTCACTCGTGAAATCGGTAGCCTCTTTTTGTCCTATGATTACAGGGGTGTTAACTGGCCACTTCACCTAGAATGATCCCTTAGAATATGTGCATCTGCTAAACTACCTGTTCGACCTTGTATGTGGCTGTGACACTGAGTGCCTTTCCCAGACCTGAGGAAGAGCTCTGTGTAACTCGACAGCTTGTCTCTCTCCAGAAATTGGTCCAATAAAAGATATCACCTCACCCACCTTGTCTCTCTAATATCCTGGGACTCTCTAATATCCAACATGGCTACGACACCGCACACAATGCGGGACACAGTGTTAGCACAAGGTTATCCTTCCTCTGTTTCACTGTGTAGAGCTTCTGCCTAGAATCTTGCCACATCCTCCCTGGCTTCCTGGTACAGCTTTAATACGTATCCTTGTAGTGCATGCAGAATTCTTGCTTTCAATTGCAGGATTGTCACTAGGGCTTGTAATCATTGCTGTCCCTCCGTAGGCGTTGAAGGCATGTAACAGAGGGGCTCCCATTATTTCCATGAGCAAGCACTTTGAAACAAGGGAAAAAGCAATTATTTCCCCTTATTCTTAAAAAATAATAATAATCAGCCCAAGAATCTGCATTTGGTCTTTGTGTATGGGCAACATAACCACCCCATGAGAGCAGCAAATCCATATCTTCCAGTTAAGGCCCATTCAAACCTTTCTAGCAGGCAGCAGTGTTTGCTGCAGAAGACCTGGCATCTCTCTTTGCTTTAATGAGACACTGGCTCGCACAGCGTGCCATGCAGCAGCTGTGAGCGATGGGATATTAGAGTGACAAGGTGTCAGTAGGATTTGTCACATTAGAGGACCACAGTCCCAGTTCAGATGAACCTTCTGGTGGCTAAACAGCTAATATAAAGGCTCAGACTTGTGCAATTGGTGTCATAAAAATGCTACTCACAAACCAGCTGCAAATAAAAGCAACAGATCCAGCCAGGGGCCCACCCTGTCTGGAAACAGAACCCTTTACTCTAAATCATTCATATTAAGGCAGTACCTAGGAATATTAATCAAGCAGCAGGGCTCCAGAGTGCTTAGTATTGTACAGATATGTAACCGACAGCAGCAGTCCACGCCCCACAGAACTTAAGCTGCATTAGACAGAATGCAAGAGATGGGTGAGAGGGAATCGGCCAACGCTTGAGTTAGCACAATTTGTCAGCTGCCCGTCCAGCCACTCTGTGCAGTTTGAGTGGTATTTCACAGTGCGGCTGTTCTCACTCGAGCTAGATTAACTCTACAGTTGTTAATTGAGTGAAGATAACTTGAGTTAACTCTGTGGCGAAGACTTAGACCGGGGGTGGGCAAACTTTTTTTTTTTGGCCTGAGGGCCACATCAGGGTTGCAAAACTGTATATGGAGGGCCGGGTAGGGAAGGTTGTGCCTCCCCAAACAGCCTGACCCCTGACCCCTATCCGCCCCCTCCCACTTCCCGCCCCCTGACTGCCCCCCTCAGAATCCCCGACCCATCCAACCCCCCCTGCTCCTCGTCCCCTGACCGCCCCCTCCTGGGACCCCACCCCCTATTCAACCCTCCCTGTCCCCTGACTGCCCCAACCCCTATCCACACCCTTGCCCCCTGACAGGCCCCCCGGGACTCCCACGCCTATCCAACCCCCCCGTTCCCCATCCCCTGACCACCCCCCCAAACCTCCGCCCCATCCCCCTGCTCCCTGTCCCCTAACTGCCCCTGGCCACCCCCTGCCCCTTATCCAACCCCCCCCCTTACCATGCCGCTCAGAGTGGCAGAAGCTCGCAGCCCCGCCGCCTGGCGGGAGCCACCTGTGCTGCCCGCGCGGCGGCGTTGCTGCAGGGGGACGGGACAGCAGGGGAGGGGCCAGGCAGGATGGTCTCGCGGGCCGGATGTAGTTTGCCCACCTCTGACTTAGACACAGATAAAATTAAGTTTGGTTGCTTGGAGATCATCACCTGGTTACTCTTCTGTGGCTATTAATTAGCACTCCCCAATAAAGGTGTGTAAAGCTTTTCAGTTTAGCCTCTAGTTTTAGGCAAGCTAATGCCTTAATCCAGACTTTTAAAACTAGAAAGGCCTAGTGCCGTGTTTCTCTGATTACCATCTTCCCTTCAACACACATGCAGTCTGGCTACCGCTAAATGAAAATCGGAATTTCTGTTTCACAGGAAATTCTGGCGTTTCAACATTTGTTTTAATCCCAAACTGGATGGAATCATTGAATGAAAAAAAATGGATATTTCAAGGAAAAGTTATGAATCAAAAATCTTCGGTAATGTTTTGACAATTTTTGGTACAAAAATTGTCGGTAATGTTTTTGGTAAATGTTTTGACAGTCCCGAATCGAAAGATTGTTTTGGACTGTTAAACAGAATGGAAATGCTTCTTTTTGAGTCAGTTTGACATGAAAACTGCATCTGCCTTTGGCAGTGTCCCCAAACGTTTTACCTCATGTCCCCCCAGGGCTGGGAAGTGTGGCCACGATTGGGGCTGGGGCCACAGCTGGGAGCAGGGTCAGGGCCGGGGGCCAAGACTGGGGCTGGAGTCGCAGCCAAGCTGGGAACCTGAGGTTGAGACCTAGGCCGGCCGCAGCTGGGGGCGGGGCTGGGAGCAGGAGTGGAGCTGGGGCCGCAGCTGGAAGGAAGCTGAGACCAAGCCGGTAGCCAGGGCCACAGCGAGTTGCAGAGCCGCAGCCGGGGCTGGGCCAGGGGACAGGGCTGGGGGCAGGGCCAGGAGCAGAGCTGGGGGCAGAGCCGGGCTGGGTGCCGCTCCCTGCCAGCCCCCCATGGGGGCTGGCCCAGACCCCGCCATGACCCCCACACACACCCAAACATTCCTCTGCACCCCCATAGTTTGGGGACCATTGCTGTAGCCAGTAGGAGCAGAAGCAGCCAACGCAGGGACCTTGGGACATTCAGCACATTTTCTAAAGTTTTGACGGGACTTCCTCTGCCCTGTGCTAATTGGCTGTTTGCTCATCCTTTCTGCCTCTCACAGAATCTTTTCACCTCTACTTCACTCCACATCTACCCTCTTCCCCTCTTCTCCCCAGCCCTGTCCCCCTTTCCCTTCAGTGTCCCTTCTCCATGCCCTTTGCTTTCCACTTAGCTGATCCCCCTCCTAACTAAACACATACACACACTCGCACTCTCTCTCTCTCTCTCTCTCTGTGGCACTAACATGCCATTTGCTTCCATCACGTTGTTCACTCTGCCTGGATGGTTCTACTCCTTCGCCACCCTGTCTCCCTTGTCCTGAAGAGCTAACAATCTAAAGAGACAGGGGCTGCCTGCTACTCCATTTGTACAGCGCCTGGCGTAAACGGGCCCCATTATTGCTTGGTCTCTATGTTCTACTGTAATATATTTGACTGAGAGGATGCTTACACGTATTTTTCCCCCTTCTGTTTCAGACACCACTGTTCAGGAGTTGAAGGGATCTGGAGAAGAAATGACAGCTGCATACACCACTGTTCCTTTCCTTTATTTGAGAGCCTGACAAGAACTCTACCAAAAGTAACTAACCGTTTTTGGCTTTGTGTAAAATCAGCCGTCTTGTTGTTGTTTAGGAGTGAGTGCTTCAGAAAGAATAGCATCATGTACACATTCCTGCCTGAAAGCTTCAACCCGGTGAAGCCGAAGCCGTCCAAGGAGCTGAAGCCAATGATCGGTGCAGTACTTGTCGGGCTCATCTTGTTCATTTCGGCAGTGGTGGCATGGTGCTACTACACGGCGTCTCTCAGGAAGGCGGAGCGGCTAAAGACGGAATTAATGGACCTGAGGAAGGATGGGTTCATCATCAAAAACCACAATGGGGAGGTGGTCTTCAGACTGGCCTTCCAGTCAGGCACCCTCGACCTGGAGTCCTGCTCGAAAGAAGGGGAAATTTTAACCTGCACCAGGTCGGACAGAGGGAAGCTGAATTTCTTCATTCAGACGGTCAAGCCCAAGGACACGGTGATGTGCTACCGTGTCCGCTGGGAGGAGTTTGTGGTGGACACTGTGGTCGAGCACACCATGTTTTGGGAGGACGCTCACTGGTACGGGGGCTGTGAAATGAGCGTCCAGCACTGGCCAATCAGACTCCCAGGGTACCAGGAGCCCATGCCCTTTGTGACGAGCGACGTGTATTCCTTCCGGGGCAGCTTTGGAGGCATCTTGGAAAGGTACTGGCTGTCCTCGAAAGCGGCGGCTATAAAGATCAACGACTCGGTGCCCTTCCACCTGGGGTTTAACGCCAGTGAACGGTCGCTCTTTTTTCAAGCCAGGTATAAGGATTCTCCCTACAAACCTCCCCTTGGGCAGCAGCCTTTCCCGGAGCTGAGCTACCGTGTCTGCGTTGGCTCGGATGTGACCTCCATTCACAAATACATGGTGCGCAGGTACTTTAACAAGCCTTCTAAGATCCCATCAGAAAACGCCTTCCGGTACCCCATCTGGTCTACATGGGCTCTGTACAAAAATGATATTGACCAGGATAAGCTGTTGCGTTTTGCAGAAAAGATTAAAAAGTACCGGTTTAATTGCAGCCATATTGAAATCGACGACACCTACACACAGACTTATGGCGACTTCGACTTTGATCCGGTAAAGTTCCCTAATGTGACAGAAATGTTCAAAACGCTGAAAGAAGAAGGATTTAAAGTTACCCTGTGGACACATCCCTTTATAAACTACAATTCCTCCAATTTTGGAGTGGGGATAGAGCGGCAGCTCTTTATCAAGGAGCCGACGGGGAAACTGCCCGCGATGGTGAAGTGGTGGAACGGCATTGGCGCCATATTGGATTTTACCAATCCCACGGCCAGGGAGTGGTTTCAGAGCCACCTGAAACAACTGCGGTCGAAGTACGGCATAGCGTCCTTTAAATTTGACGCTGGTGAGGTAAGCTACCTTCCAAAGCAGTTCAGCACCTTCAGGCCCTTGTCGGATCCCAGCATCTGGTCCAGACGGTACACGGAAATGGCCATTCCGTTCTACGAGCTCGCCGAAGTCAGGGTCGGCTACCAGTCCCAAAACATCTCCTGCTTCTTCCGCATCATCGACCGCGACTCGGTTTGGGGATATGAGCTTGGCCTCAAGTCCCTGATCCCTACTGTGCTCACCATTAGCATGCTGGGATACCCTTTCATTTCAGCTGACATGATTGGTGGGAATATTTTCCCCAACAAGACAGAAGGTGCTGTTGAAATCCCGGACCAGGAGCTGTACATCCGCTGGCTGGAGCTGTCAGCCTTCATGCCCTCCATGCAGTTCTCCATTCCCCCCTGGCTCTATGACAAGGAAGTGATTGAGATTGCACAGAAGTTCACAGAGCTGCATGAGTCCCTGGTTGCCCCTCTCCTGTTGGAGCTGGCTGGAGAGGTCACCGACACGGGAGACCCCATCATACGGCCCATCTGGTGGATTTCTCCCAGTGATGAATTCGCTCACAAGATCGACTCCCAGTTCCTCATTGGGGACACCCTCATGGTGGCCCCTGTCCTAGAGCTGGGCAAGCAAGAGCGAGATGTGTACCTCCCGGCCGGCAAATGGCGCAGTTACAAAGGGGAGCTGTTTGAGAAGACCCCAGTCCTGTTAACAGACTATCCCGTTGACTTGGACGAAGTTGCTTATTTCCTCTGGGTATCTTAACAGACTCCTCCATCCGCTCTAATCTTTGTGATAACCATGCCTTACTTTAGGAACTTAAAACAAATAACAATTCTAAATGCACAGTACACTTCTTTCGGGGAGGGGGGGGTGCTGGAGGGGAATGGGAAATTAACAGGACTTTGTTTGTTTTTTAAATACCCTATATCTTGTCCATAAGAGACGCTCCAGTTTGGGCTGTGGTATATATAAATGCAGAAGGTATAATAGCATCACAAGATGCATACAGGAAGGCAAGGCCTTTTCAAATCTCTGAGCTCAAGAGGTAAAAGCAACCCTCGGTTTTTAGCTGTGCAGCACGTGTTGTTGTTTTTTTATTATTATTATTATTTTATTTCTCCTTTAGAAACGTGGCCCCTGGGGGGCCTACAATATTTGCCATAGACCCCCCCTCTTCTAGGTGCAGCCTCTGAATCCAAATCCCATAGTGCAATGCTCCATCTTGATCTCAATGAAAGGCTGCGTGCGTCAACAGGGAGCAGTGCCTGCTGGGGCCTGTAGTTTCTGGGCCACGCCTCTCCCCAAAGCAGGTGCAGCTGCAATCTGCTGTTTTAATGCAAATGAAATGCAGTCTTGGAGTTGTTGCAAGTTGCCAAGATGCTCTGCAGCTGAACAAAGGGAGGACCGCCCTGATCCCAGGGGTGAAGGGAACAAGGAATGACTCGAACACGGGAAGCAATGGGTTACTACAGCACAACCAGCCTTACATTTTATAATGTGGCAAATATTATTTTAAAATGACTTTTTTAAGAGGATAAATCTAGCTATATATTTGATTCCTTAGTCCAGCATTGGACTGGACCTCAAATGCCCAACCCCCCCATCTCTCTCGAGTACCAGGCTGGCCAGGCTATTCGACTTACCTGCAAGTATTTTAACTGTATGTTACTTACCTGGGCAGGCTGCATTATTCCGTCCTAGCCTGTTTCTAATATCTCCTGGAAGGGTCTCCTCCTAGAGCACTGACTGTGCTGTTAACACTATTCCCCATCGAGCAACAATATTTGTACTGTGTATTTTCTTTCAAGGGAGTACAATGGATTTCTTTGTTACATACCTACCCTGCAGATACTTCTCTTTCCCCTTTGAAAGATGTGCTTGCAGCTTGGTTATTTGTCAGAGGAATTGCCAGAAGCAAAATAACCTCTCAAAAGGTGCATGTGACACTCCCCAGAGACTGCAGGTGCCTGCCCGCCGCGCACAAACGGATCCACCAGGTTTGCTGCCGACCAACGTCTCAATATGAAAAGCAATGACGTTTGCACTGAACAGGGCTGTGCCGATGGGGCTTTTTCATCCTTTCCAAGGAAACGTTATGGTATTCATAGTCCAATTAAGCTAGTATTGCATGGCAGCCTCTTTTAACTGTCTCAATTTTGTCTAAAGTTTCTTGGGCCAGTTTTTCTTTGTTTGTTGCTATTTTTAAAAAGCCCAACGCTCACTAGCTCTCACGTAGGCATCTAAATGAAGTGGCTCAGTGGAAGCCGTTGAGTGAAAACTGGGCCCCATGTAATTTACTGTCATGCTAGAAGTAGGAAATCTGAAGTTTTGGCCCGAAGGTAAAATGCAATTCTAACCTACCTGTGAGTGTGTGTTACCCATTGTCCTCTGCACCTGAGCCATAGAGGATGTGTCTCTACCGCTGCCCCTCCTACGAAGCCAATCTCTCTATCTCAAGCTGCAGAGACTTGTGGTGTTAGCTCCGGAAGTCCCCGGTTCAGTGCCTGGGGTTGGCTGAGATAGCAGTCACTGTCGTCCTAGGGGCTTGATCTTTTGCACCATTGAAGTCAATGGGAGTGATGCCTCTGAGTTCATTCTTAGCAGGATTTGGCCCTGGGACTGCAAGGCAAGGATAGAGCTGAGTTGCTGCTGGTGAATTCCAGCAGCCCCCCAGTTCTAGTCTCCTATCAAGGAAGATGCAGGTGCAAGCGAATGCCGTGTGCTCTGTCTCTAATTCAAGTGGTTTGAGCTTAAATGTGCAAAGTAGGTGCTCGGCCTGAGCTCATCCTGAAGGCTACATTAGCAACTTGCTCTTGCAAAGTTTGGATGCCCCAGGTTAGACCCACTCCTTCATGGTGCGACTTGAAATGTAACAAACTGATTTAAGCACTGAAAATATGTCAAGACTGTGTCTTGGAGGACTCCTGACTGTGCCTCATTTTCAACTCTTGTGGGGTTTTTTCCTTTGGTTAGATGTATTCATAGTTTTGGGGAAAGATTCTTGGGAGGGCGGCTTTGCTACAGCCTCTGGATAAGATCAGAGATCCTGAGTACAGGGCAAATTGACCACAGCAGCCTTGCACCATTAAAATTTTGGCATCTGCTAGCATGGGGTTTTGCTATATTGACTGGTGAAATGAGCCAACCCTCCCTTTATCCGAGAGGACTGACAGACATGACAGTGCCCCTACAAAACAGCTGTCTCAGGTGCAGAAAAGCTGGGGTATGGGTGCAGGAGGCAATCCTAAAGAGGGAGAACATGCCTGGCTCTGCTTTCAGTGTGAGCTTGAAGACTTCAGCTGCACAAATCTCTGTTCCAGAGGTTCCAGTTGGCCGGGGAACTCTTCAATGAAAAGTTCTCATGGGTGGTGGCAGGAAACATTTGAACCTCTCCATAAGATTGTTGCACTTTTTGTTTCCTGCCACTGTTGAAGCAACGGGGTTGCAGAAATGCAACAGAAGGTAGAACCCAGGCCTCTGTGTCATTGGATACCTGAATTAACCACAGGCTGCTCCCAAAGGTAGAACACCCAGAATTAACTAGCAGCTGGAATTCCAGGGTGCTTTGTAACTGCCTCTTCGTTGTGTAGAGGTAGACTAGGGAGTGAGAATGTGAGCAATAGTATGTCAAGTCTCTGTTTAATGGAACTGGATCCTTGTGGTTGTGCAAAGACGGTATGAGATGCTTAATTGGGCCACTGTTGTGAAGGCTACAAAGGAACTTAACCAGAAAACTCATCACGGCTTAGATACATCCAAGTTTCCTATAGACACATCCTCCCCTTCAAAGGAAAGAATTTTATTATTGAAAGCTGAACTATTTAATTTAACTGTTTAGGAAGAAACGTTAGTAACGTGAGCATCCTTATTTCTCCACCAAATGCCACAGCGGCTGGGAGACAAAGTGAAACAGCTGCTAGGAAACTACAGAAGAAATGGTTAAACCTGTGTCGCACGCAGCTGGACCGCAGCACAAATACGTCCCCAGGTTCTGTGGCAACCTCCGTCCTGTGCAAAACTGGTGTTCAGAGGAGCCTCAGCATTGCTATGTAGAATTCGTTTAGCAGCCTGCCTTTTCCTACCACTGCAACAAAATGGGAAGTCGCTCAGCTCCTTAATGACACTGAGCAACCTGATGGGGGGCCAAAAAGGTGTCTGTCTTGAAGTTCCACTTCCCTGCTCTGAACTAGGAGGGACTGGGAATGGATTGATCTGGATCCTCTCCGAATGCAAGGGTTCCACACTAGAATGTCCTGGGCTTGAATTCTACTTACTGTACCACTAAAAGGGATGAAGTGACCTAGATTGTTCTAGGCTTGTAAGGTGGCTAACTGCCCAAAACCCAGGGTCAAGGAAATACCTGTGGTGATGGAGTTGGGTGGACTGGTTCAGATTTGCCACCCAAATGTCTGTCTATCCTTGCCTCTGGGAATGGCTGAACTGCAGTTGGACCTGATGCAGGGATGGCCCAGATTATGTTTGTAGTATTATTTTATTTGAATCCTGCACAACTGTATTGGTTTTGCACAATGCTGTAAATCTGCACAGGCCTTTGCAAGTCAGATTCTAATGTTCGTTTTAACCAGTTTTCTAACTCTCTTAATTACTGAAGCAACAACGCCACTCTCCTGTTAACTGAAATAGCTTTGGGAGGATAAAGGGCATTTTAACTAACTAGGTCCATCTGCAACAACTTTGTGGGAACAATTGCAGCAGCAGTGATGAATGGAGGTTGTAGGTTACTTTCACACCTGACATTCTATAAAATTAAAGCTGAATCACAAGCCCTTTTTAACTGCTCTTTTTAAAAGGTAAAAGCCTCAGAGAATCAGGCTTGTTTTCCTTCCCTCCTCCTCCTTCCCCCCCTTTAATCTCTCAGGGGTCAGCGCTTGATGTATAAATGGTCCGTCCTAAACTATAGATCTGTTTGCTTTGTCGGAGGGTTTTTTTCCTTCTTGTGAGCTCTGCAGTCAAGGGAAGATGTACGTTTAGGGCTGGCCTATAGACGATCCTTCTCCCACGGGATAAGGGGAAGTTCCATGTGCCATTTTCTTTTGGAAGATCAACAGAGCAAAGGGAAAGACGAGAGACAATTTTGCTCCCAATTCCGTTGTGTAACTATGGAATAGCCCAGCTGATGCTGGAATTATTCAACACTGGTGAAAGTGAGAGCAGAATGTAGCCCAGAGAATGCACCATGTCCAGGATTCAGCAACGTATCAAAGCGTGCACTTGTCTTTAATGGGACTATTTGCCGGCTTCAAGCTCGGCCCACGCTGAAGTACCTTGCTCAGTTGAGGACCATATCTCTGGTAAAGAAAGAAGAGAGGCTCTTTCTCTGATTCACAATAACCGTCCAGAAAATCATTTGGGGACCTAACCACTTGCTTATTTACAGCACAGGGTGCATTTTCTATTTTAACATGACAGGTTTCACTTACATCTGAGCGCTGGGAAAAGAACGTGGCATATATTTGGTGCCAAACAACACAATTCACTTATGCCACCAATCCAGCCCCAGTACATATGCTCCTGCAATGCTGGCTGTCAAATTTCAAAACTGATATCTACACGAAGAGTAGATGATGATTAAACTTTAATTTAAGAACCTGTGCAGAGCTCCTTTGCTGCAAATAGTGTTTCCCTCCTGACTTTTCTTACTTTTTTTGGTATGAAACTTGGCCCTGCCTTGTTCCACACTAACCAAAAAGAGAGGGAAATGTTTGCATTTTGTTTAACATTGACTTTGGGGGGGTCACATGATCACTGATGTGTCATGTTTCAAACTATTCATTTTGAATAAAAGACACTTTCAACCCCTTGACTTCGCCTCCTTCCTTCAGTGTGAGTGACACCACGCACCAAGACCAACTGCCATTATATTGAAAAGGGTAACGCTGCAGCCAGTGTGTTTACACAACCCCCCAATGCATGCTCCAGACTGGAGCTCTTTAATGGGAAGCATGAACCTGGAAAGTAATGGAGCTGAAAGAGACGCAGGGCTGAGCGTGGGTGGTAAATTACAGCTGGGTTTGAAGGAGGAGGTGGCTGCAGAATGGATGGGTGTGATTTGGGGCTGTGTATAGGGCACCGAGCTGGGAGTAAGTCCTGCTCTATCTGGATCTGGTATAGCTAAACCTTCTCTTAGTATTACAGGAGCACATAGTGGCCCTAGGTGAGGGGGTATTGTGCTGTACACATGCAGATAGTGAGAAATGGTCCCTTCCCCGAAGAGCTGACAGTCTGAAAGACAAGGCAGGCAAAGGGTGGGCACAGAGAGGCATAGCACCCTGCCCGTGGTCACCCAGCGGGACAGTAGCAGAGCTGGTACCAGAATCCAGATCTCCTGAATCGCAATCCAGTGCCCTACTCCATAGCCCCGGCCATCTCTCCTGTTATGGGCACCTCCTTAACTGAAACAGAAAGGAATTCAGGGCATAGCAAAGCGAAAGACAGAGGTGGCTGAATGAAATGACGCGTGAGGAAAGGTTAGAAGGGCTGAATATGTATATCTTGGCTCAGAGATGATGACTAAAGCCTTAATTCGGCAGCTCTTGTTCCCCTGCGTCATCCATTGACTTCAGTCCTGTGGGTGAGACCTGCGAGGCTGGGCCCAGTGGAGGTGGGAGATGATCATCGTCGGTGAATATTTGAAGGCTGCAAAGGTTGTAGAAGAATGGGAATTGCTGAGTGTGTTACAGGGGCATCTAAGTGGAAGCAACAGGATTAAGTTAGGAAAGGGAAAATGTAGGTGGAGTATCAAGGGAAAGCCTTCCTGAGGGTGAGACATAAGCTGTACAGCAGAACTAAAATTCATTTGCAAATTTAACACCATTAATCTGGGCTTGAATAGGGACTGGGAGTGGCTGGCTCATTCCAAAAGCTGCTTTGCCTCTCCTGGAATTGACACCTCCTCATCCATTATTGGGAGTGGACTACATCCACCCTGATCGAATTGGCCCTGTCAACACTGGTTCTCCACCTGTGAGGTAACTCCCTTCTCTTCATGTGTCATTATATAATACAGGGGTCGGCAATCTACGGCACGCGTGCCAAACACAGCACGCAAGCTGATTTTGACTGGCACGCTGCTGCCTACCTCGGTCCCGGCCCCCAGCCCCACTCAGCCCCTCCGCCTACCTCTCTCCCTTGCGGGGGCAGGAGGCAGCTCAGAGGGATAGCTCAGTGGTTTGCGCATTGGCCTGCTAAACCCAGCATTGTGAGTTCAATCCTTGAGGAGGCCATTTAGGGATCTAGGGCAAAAATCTGTCTGGGGATTGGTGCTGCTTTGAGCAGGGGGTGGGACTAGATGACCTCCTGAGGTCCCTTCCAACCCTAATATTCTACGATTTATACTTAAATTGTAAGCTCCTTGGGGTAGGGGCTGTAGAGCACAGTGGTGGGCTGGGTCAATGAGTAGGGCACCTAAGAGCTGTGGTAATAGAAATAACAACACACCGTACATGTGGGAAACCCAGGGGAAGGTTCAATCTTAGAGCTATTGGGTTTAGAAGGCCGTTGTCTCCATTTGCATCCTGCTTTATTATAATCACTCACAAGGTAAAGGTCTGTGGGGCTTTGGCTAAGAAGCAACCGCCTGATTCTTCATGCTGCAGCCCCTAAATGGGCTTGGGGGGTCACTCGCGCGGGAGGCTGCCCCAGCGCCTCGCACCCACAAACAGAGGTGTGGTGAGCGAGATGGGGCACCCGCATGAGAGTGGCCACAGGCAATACACTGCGTAGGGAAGAGCCAGATAGGTTACTGCTGGGGATGCTGGATATTTCAACAGCCGTGATCACCGCCCCTTCGAAAAGGGTCCCCCTAGGCTCTGGGCAGCAGCACGACGGCCAGGGGGACGGTGCCCTGATTGCACACCTGCCTAACCTGTGGCAGCTTTGGGCTAAAGACTCTGGATTTCAGGCCTCGCCAAGGAGTCTCCAGCTGCCCTCCCCACAGCCTGCACCTGCCCTCCCCACAACTTTCCAGTGAGCGACCCAGAGGGGGCAGGGGGAGGAACCCAGAGCAAGGTAAGAGAAGAAGCAGCAGGGGTCAGAGCCTGCTCAGCCCAACCTAATCTGCTAGGATGGGGTAGCCGGGAGACAGGGAGCTTCAGCAGTACATGGAAGAGAGGATGGATGGAATGGGGGGAGGAGAAATGCATAGACTCAGAGAGTAGAGGGCCTTGGTGCTTTGGGGGGGGGGACTCTGCACCTGGGAGCCCAGTTCATGCTACATGCACAATGTTGTGTACAATTCTCTTTGCTTTGTGCTGAGCCCAGATAGGCAGATCTACCTGGCCACATCCCAATCAGCTGGTCTCCTGCTCCCCCAAAGTGCTGCCTGTCCGAAGCATGGGTGAGTTGGAGCCACTCACTAGGCACAAATCGAAGAGAATTCCTGCGGCTGTACCGATGAACTCTGGTTCTGCGCTGACCAGCACAACAACTGTGAGTTGCGGCGGGGGGGGCATACTACAAGAACTCGTGTGTTGGACTCACGAACCTGAAGCAAAAGACACTGCCCAGTGTACTCTGAGGAGGGTGTCTTGCTTCTGCTTTTATGTTTCTGAATACCGCTTGTGCTGTTTTCTCAGATTAATGCTAGAAAGGCTTTCTACCTCCGACTCTGTGCTTGCGAGAGGGGAAGTATGGCCTCTTAGAGGTGCCCAGAGGGTAGAGTGACATTCCCCCCGGTGGGGGCCTGAGCCGGTTTTGGTTATATTGTTGAAAAGGAACCCCCTGAGATACTGAACCTGGCCCTTCTTGCTGCCCACGCCCACTGGCAGAAGGGTTACACAGGTTTGCACATACACCACTTTCATGTGACTGAAACAACCCCCTAGTCCTGCCCCCCACACACCCCTTTAGCACTGCCAAGCACCGCTGGTACACCCTGGTGTTCCCGGCACTCGAACAGCCTGTCCTGAGAAACATTACTCTGGGAAAGCCTCTGCTGCCAGACACAGCTGCCTGCACCGAAGGGGTTAAGAGAAGTATATCTCCTCATTCCCCAATCAGGCAGTGCT